TTCTGTTGTAAAAGTCATATCTCAATTAAACTTGTCTACAGCTTGTGGTCCAGACAACATTCCTGTCACAGTCTTGCAGAATTGTTCCTCAGAACTTTCTTCAATTCTCTCTAATCTATTTAACAAGTGTTTGACTGAGTCTTGTTTTCCTGCTTGTTGGAAAATGGTATCTGTGGTTCCAATATTCAAAAACTCTAGAGAAAATTCTGATCCCTCCAATTATCGTCCGATCAGTCTTCTTTCTGTTATTAGCAAGGTCTTTGAGTCTTTGATCAACAAATTCCTCACATCTCATCTTGAGTCAAATAAACTACTGTCAGACAATCAATACAGTTTTTTTATCCTCTCGCTCTACGGCTGACTTGCTAACTGCTGTAACTGTAAGATTTTATCGTGCATTAGATAGAGGCGGTGAGGCTAGGGCTATTGCTCTCGACATATCTAAAGCTTTCGACAAAGTTTGGCATGCTGGTCTTCTCAATAAGCTTGCTTCATATGGTGTTTCTGGGAAAGTTTTTGAGATTATCAAATCATTTCTTTCTAACCGGTTTATTAAAGTCATCCTTGAAGGCCAACACTCTTCTTTATTTCCAGTAACTTCTTGGGTTCCGCAAGGTTCCATCCTGGGCCGTGTTTTGTTTCTTATCTACATAAACAATCTTCCTGACAACCTTTCATCTAAAGTAGCTCTTTTTGCTGATGACTCAACTTTATACTCCTGTCTTGACAAAAAGTCTTCTAACAAAACCCAGTTGTTTACTGCAAACAGCTACCGTAATATGGTCAACATTCCTATATTAATGAATGGCAATCCTCTTACTGAGTCCTCCTCTTTACGTCTTCTTGGATTATCGCTTACTACTGACCTTTCATGGAAACCATATATACAATCAATACAATTGCTAAATTAGCTTCTGCTAAGGTTGCTTCTCTTTATCGTGCTCGCCATTTCCTTACTTCTGATTCTATTCTCTACCTCTACAAATCTCTTATTCGTCCCTGTATGGAATACTGTTGTCATATTTGGGCTGGTTCTTTTAACAATTCACTTTCTCTTCTTGACAAGGTCCAAAAACGCATTGTAAATGTAGTTGGACCTGGACTATCTGCTAAGCTTGAGCCTCTTTCCCATCTTTGTAAAGTTGCATCTCTTTCTCTTTTCTACAAATACTATCATGGTCACTGCTCAAAGGAGTTTTCATCTCTAGTTCCATCAACTAAAATTCATTCTCGTTTTACTCGTCATTCAGCTAAGTCTCATTCATTTACTGTATCTGTCCCTGCATGCTCTAAAAACTTTTATTCATCTAGTTTTTTTCCAATCCTTCCTTCAATCCTTTGGAACTCTCTCCCATCTTCATGTTTTCCTGACTCATACAACCTTCAACTTTTCAAGTCTTCTGTCAACTGTTTCCTTGCTCTATAACTCTGTTCTTTTTTTTCCTAGTAACTCCCAACTTAATAGTGGTTGCTTGCAGCCTTGTTGGAAGTGAATGCAAATAAAAAAAAAAAAAAAAAAAAAACAATGTCATAATTATAGCAAGATAGTTCAATTTTCCATCAATAAATTTTATCATTTTTAATCTTTGATTTATGTTGCTTTTTGAAAATATAGGACACAGGTTACTGATCAGTAATAAGTCTAAAATGGCGTCCAGTAAGGTAGTGTTTCCGATCTCTGGCTGTTTCTATTATGGTGCAAGCTTTTTTCCCAATAGAGGGATGTTTGAGCTCAGGTTTTTGAAGTAATCTTGAAAAGAAAGCAACAGGGCGACCATTTTGATTAAAAACTACAGCTATAGTAATGTCAGATGCATCGGTTTCTAGTTCAAACAGAACATTTTCATCCACACAATCTGTCACAGCATTTGCAATGTCTTGTTTAAGTTGATTGAAATCATTTGCACACTGATAATCTAATTGGTACTTGGTGTTTCTGGTAAGAGAAGCTATCTTGTCGGAAAAGTTTGGAATCCATTTAGAGTAGTATGAGAATAGTCCGATGATGCGCTTCATGGATTTAGCATCTCTTTCATAGGCTAACGAAGGAGACATCTCTTTCATAGGTTAAAGATGACTGGGATCCGGTTTGAGTTTTCCTTCTTCTATAAGATAACCAAGAATGCAAATTTTATCTTGAGAGAAGCTACATTTATCATGACTATATATGTAAGATTTATATTTTCAGCTGACTTAAGAGATTTTTCCAGATTACTATCACGCTCCTCTTGGGTTTTACCACATTTTGTTACATTATCTAGATAAGCAAAAGTATCTAAAAGTCTTTTTTTTTCTATAAATTTGTTTATGGTACGTTGAAAACAAGCAACACCATTTTGAATTCCAAATGGCATTCGCTTAAATTGGAACAACCTTCCATTTGCTTCAAAAGCTGTATATTTTCTATCATTTTTGGTAATTGGGATTTGGTGGTAGGCTGATTTTACTAAATATTTTGTATTGAGCAATTTTGTTTACTAGGTCATCAATCCTTGGTAATGGGTAAGCGTCTAGTTGAGTATACTTATTTATTGTTTGACTGTAGTCAATAACTAATCTTTTTTTAGAGCGTTCTTCTTTAGTTAGGACTACCTGAGCTCTCCAGGGAGAATTTGCATGTTCAACAATGCCCTCTTTAAGCATACGTTGTACTTCCATTTCAATGAATGACTGATCTTCCTTGCTACAATGACGAGATTTTGAAGCTATTGGTTTACAGTTAGGTGATAAATTGTCAAATAAACTAGGTGGAGATACGTTCAACTTTGACAAACCACAAATTAATGGTGGGGGTCTTTTTTCTTCAAATTTAAGGGTTACAGCTTTGTATTGTTTTTGAAAATCAAGACCCAGAATAACATCCATGCATAACTCATTTAAGATGTTCAGTTTCACTAGTTTATAATGCTCATTTTTTATTAAAATATTAACAAAAACTACTCCACAAATTGTATTAGATAAAGAAAATGAAGCCATAGATACCTGTTTTTGGTTGTGTCTATGTACTGTTAGGTTTAGTTTTTGTACCAATCGAGGGTGAATAAAACTATTAGTGCTACCACTATCAATGAGAGCCTTTACAAATGAACCATTAACCAACATACCAATTGTTGATTTATTCAAAGCTGAATTGGAAGCAGAAATGTTCTTTAAATTAGTTTTATGTTCAGGGTAGTCTAGTCAAGTAAGTGAAGGATTGTATGAGTTCAAAGGTTGATCAAGAAGATTCATTCCTGCTGTTGTAAGTTTAGAAGATTTAATTGGCAAAATGACCAACTTTTTCACATTTAAAATAAGTTGTTGTGCATATAACAAGTTGATGTGTTGTGCATAAACCTCATTTGATGGTTTGATGTACACAGATTGTAAAGCTTGTATTGCTGCTTCATAATTTAGACATTCACTTATTAATTCATAAACATCGGGCACAATAAAATTAGTCAGGATTTTTAACTTATTGAGTTCTTGAGTGAGTTCATCAAGATAATACTCAAATGTTCTGAGCCAATGTTTAAATAATTTTGTTGCAGAAGGTGAGTTTGGTAATGTATCCAAGTGAGAAGATCTTAGGGCTCTATCCATATTTAATATCCATATTTAGAAGGTCTTAGGGCTCTATCTTGTATAAAGAACAACAGCAATTTTAATTCTTAAAAGTTTTTCTGTCTAAAATAAACAAATTAAATTTACAAAACACAACAGTAGCGTAATATTTTTCAACAATTTTGATCATAAATGAACTCTTTTTGATCTCCTTATTCTTTTTTTTTTCTTCTCTTTTTTTTATTTTTAATCCAAAAATGTTTTTGCACTTTGACATTTTTGATATCTCATCATAAAGCATTTCAATAATATTTTTTTGTAAATTATTTGATCCACATATATTGTTTATAGCTTCAGCAAATCCTTCACATTTAAATACAAAAAATGTCTATCAAAGGCATTTATCTCTGTATGTATCAACATACTGGCTACTAAATTTTTTTAGCAAGATTGTTTTTGTGAAATTGCTTTCATCCTTTTCTCATGATAAATTTTTTTTTTTAACTTCAAAATAATGTCTGTTGCATTTGTTTGACTTTTTCCACAACTAATAATTTTTGTTAAGTTATATAGCTATCCGTAAACAAACCAGATATAAAACTCACCTGTTTTACTTTAAAAAAAGCAATTTTTTAAAGTAAAACAGGTGAGTTTTATATCTGTTTGTTTATGGATAGAAAAAAACTTTTTTTAAAAAAGTTTTTTTACTATCCATTAACATTAAACATAAAGGTTTTTTTTCTATCCATGAAGAAAAAAACTTTTTCTTTTCTAAAAAAGCCGTGTGGATTAAGATAAAAAAAAGCAAGCAAATGCTTATATAAATACGTTATAGTATATATATATATATATATATATATATATATATATATATATATATATATATATATATATATATATATATATATATACATATATATATATATATACACATATATATATATATATATATATATACATACATATATATATATATATATACATATATATATATATATATATATATATATATATATATATATATACATATATATATATATATATATATATATATATATATATATATATATATATATATATATATATATATATATATATATATATATATATATATATATATATATATATAAATTAGTATAAAATCACTTATCAAACTTTTTTCATTTTACACTGTTTCATCAATTAACCTTTATCAGAAAATCAGATTTTCTGATGTTTCTTAATTGATGAAACATTGTAAAATGAAATATATATATATATATATATATATATATATATATATATATATATATATATATATATATATATATATATATATATATATATATATATATATATATATATATAGATACATACATACATACATACATACATACATACATACATACATACATACATACATTCATACATACATAGAAATTATTATAAAATGATAAACATATCTTAATATTTTATAGCGTCTTGCCAAGCCAAACAGAAATCGGATTGGATTAAAACAATTTTGGAAATGTTTTTATGTTCCGATTGTAGTTGAACAGTCTGTATGTTAAATTTTATTAAATATTATTTGAGGGGTTATATTATCATACATTATTTTTATTGAGAAAATTGTTGTTTTATTATTACCAGTGTCAAATTTTGTTTTACTGTTACCAGTGTTTTAAATGAGCTTAAGAGATTTTATAAACTAAAATACAAAACATTTTACATATTGTAGAATATTTTGTAATGTGATTATGGTCAGGATTTTAATACATGAGGTATTTATTTTGCATTCCTTTGCTCATTAAAAACTTGTAACAAAACATTTTTATATAAAGAATTTTTTACTTTAAATTATTTTAAATATTTTAATGCTTTTTCTTATACATGTTCCTAACAACACAATTTTATTCTACTGTAATTAATAGTTTTTTGAATTTGATTATTATTTATATCGCCTAATGAAAAATAACTACAATGACCTAATGAAAAAATAACTACAATGAAGCTTAAATATGTATAAGCCATAAAAAAATAGTGATACAAACAAATTGTTTAACAAATCCTATGACACAAACAAATAGTTTAACAAATAGTTGACACAAACAAATTGTTTAACAAATCGTAAAATAAATAGAAAGAAAGTGGTAATTAGAAACCTGTTTGTCAATATACTACAGCGTATCCCTCCTCAAAATTCGAGGATGGTTTGCGTTTGCAAAGAAGCAAATATTATCCCTAATTTAACTAATGACAGTTGTTTTGGTAAATCTTTTTTGGCTAAAGAAACTTCATTTTTTTATGAAAATTGCTAATATAAATGAAAAATTGTGCAGTTTTTAATAAAATAATCAGTGTTGATATTTAATATATATTTTGTAAAACTAACTTTAAAAAAAGTTAATCTAATTTTTATTAAGTGAATTACATTGAAATTTTTATTCACTCTCAGACTCAGAATATTTAGCAGAGTTTTTAAACTTTTTGAATCAAATCAAATCAAATTTATTCTGAGTAAAATCTAATATCAAGGATATTTCAAAATAGTAATGATACTAATCTCAAGTAAATACCTATCAAATTTAATTATAATAAATAATAATAAAAAAGAAAAGTAAAAATCAGATAAAAGGTGATAATTATAAGAAACGGAAGAAATAATAGTAACTGTAAAAGTTATATAACGATGTTACTCACAAAAATAATAACAACAACAATAATATAAATAATAACTATAAATTAAAATAATTTCAATAATAATAACAAGTTAATGATAATAATAGTAATAATATAAAAATAATATTAGTAATAACTGATATTATAATAATATAAAGTAAATACAAATTAAATTTAAAGATATTAATAATAATAAAATATGAATGATAGCAGTAATTATTAGGAATATATTTATATAATGATATAAAACAATAATAAAAAGGAACAACACTAGTATTTATCAAAATTTAACAATAATAATAGTAATAATAATAAAAGTCATTGTTACAAAAAATGTATTACATATATAAGTATTTATATGTATACGCACACATAAGCACATAAATACACATAGAAATATATACACATACACACATACATACACACATATACACTAACACATTTATATATATATATATATATATATATATATATATATATATATATATATATATATATACACACACACACACATATACACATACATACATATATATACACACATACATATATATAGATACATACATATATACATATACACACATACACATATACACACATATACATATGCACACACACAAATATATGCATATACACACATATATATACACACAAAAACAAACATATACACATATATATACACACACACACATATATATATATATATATATATATATATATATATACATACATATATATATATATATATATATATATATATATATATATACATACACACATACATACACACACATACACATATATACATATACACATGTACATATATACACATATACACATATACATACATTCATATACACACACATACACATATACATATAAACACACATATACATACAACATACATACCCATATACACATGCATAAATACATACACACATATATACATATATACATACACACATACACACGCACTCACATACATATATACAAATAGACACATAAATACATACATATGTACACACAAATATACACACGCATATACATACATACACATATAAATACACACATATAAAATAATGTTGTAATAATATTTATATCACGTATAACAATACCAAAAGCAATAATAAGTTGTTTAATAGAGTTTAGTGACTTAAGGTGAAGAGGTAATTTGTTCTAAGATTTTACTCATCGATTTGTGATTGATTTATGACCGTACCTAACCGAAGAATGATTTGGAAAGATAATTTAAGGTTATTACTAGATTGAAGATAATAACGAGAACATTTGATAGTGGTAAAGAAATTACAAAATGAGGGAAGAAGGTTTACTTGCTTGCTATTCCAGACAAATAGAAAATTTAATAAATGAGCGAGATCACACAATTTCAGAATTTTGGATAGAAAGTATAGGATATTAGAATTAGAACGATATTGTTGAAAGTATATTATTTTTAATGCCTTGTTTTGCAGATTAGATATTCTTAAAATAGCTTTTGTCTGGTTTTGTCCCCAAACCTGACAAGCATATCGTAAATGTGATCCAAAAATAGCATGGTATATGTTGAGCAGAGTTTCATGGTTGACATAATGTCGACCTTTGGATAATATCCCATTTGATCTAGATAGTTTTACTGCTAAGTCTTTAAGGTGAGAGGAAAAGGATAGATTTAAGTCAATTTTCCAAAATATTGAAGAATACAAAATCTTTCTTGATCACTTTATAAAATTGTCTTCATAAAAGATGATTATAATAAAACATGATGAATATAATGTGCAGTTAGTATAGCTCTCAGTTTTTAGTTGTTTCTTTTAAACATTGTGGATGCATCAAAGGAAAAATGCTTTTTTCATTGGCAATATAGGGACAAAATGCTTATTGAAAATAGACGCGACTCTGAGGAGATGTTTATTACTTAATCACTACACTAATTATGTTTACACATTAGCATTAATGTTTTTTTTTTTCCATTATTAGTCCTTTCATTGTCGTTAGCATATTTTTAATTTGTTGAATAGTTTTTTGTTTTACAAATTTTTGAATGGTTATGTATTTCTTGTATATTTTAGTTCATATTGGTATTTATAAAACAATTTTTTTTATTTTTTTATTTTTATATATATATATATTTTTTATTATTATTTGTTATTATTTGTTTTTAATTTTTTTTAATTTTTTATATTGTTATTATGGTTGTGTACTGTTTTGGTTGTATAGCTTGTCTTATTTATTTTCAAATATTCCTCTATTAATCTTTATTTTTGTCTTGACAACTGTCAAAATATGCTTTGTCTAATAAATAATTCTCCTTTATTCTAATGTACTTCATTTCTTCCCTCAGGCGTTCACTGCTCGTGTGTGACCATTCGGCGAATTTTATATGCCAAAGTTTTTAAATAATAAAACATGATGAATATAATGTGCAGTTAGTATAGCTCTCAGTTTTTAGTTGTTTCTTTTAAACATTGTGGATGCATCAAAGGAAAAATGCTTTTTTTGTTGGCAATAGTAAAATAATTTCAAAATTGGCTTTTATCCACTGCTAGCCAATTTTGTTTCTTGTATGAACATGCATAAGTTTTGAAACTGAACAAGCAACTTAAAATCATCAATTTCAATATTTTTATTAGCAAAATATTCAACACATGGTTCAACTTTATCCCAGCTCATGTTTGAATTTAATCTTAACTTTTATCCAATCAAAATTTTAAAACTCAGTAAAAGTTCAAGTTCAATTGTTCAGGCAGAAGATGGGTTGTACATTAACAACACATCTTTCATAATAAATCACACTCTTGGTCTGAGCCAACGATCTCCAAGTTATATTAAAAATTAAATTTAACATGCTGTGCTTTATGAATGATCCTTTTCACAAAAAACCTTTTGGTTGAGTTTTAAATAAAAATCCTGACATTTGTGGCTGATTGAGGAAATTTCCTAAGGCAGATTTTTTAATACAAGGCAGATCAAATTGGGGGTAAAAAGGACATATGGTAACCCTAATTATGTGAAAATTGACTCTTTTTTTTTCAATAATCTAAAAAAGTAAAAAAACAAATCTTTGTGGAGGTTGTTGAGGTGGATTTGCTGGAAATTATGTAATGTTATACTATGCTTCCAAAAAAATTTGTTGTATTTTTTTTTATATAATTAAAATCCTAAAAATCTGTTAAAAGTTTGAAGCTTAAAAAAAAGTACAACCACAAGTTTTCTTGTTTTTAGATGCTATATTTTTATTTTATATTTATACTTATATTTTGTTACAAATTTAATACTTTTTCTTTATTATGTTTCGTAAAAAATACATTTAAGAAAATGCATATGTCAAAGCAAGAAATTGGTATAAAAAACTAGTATATAAATTTTAAGGAAAAAAGTTCACCTTAGTTAAGTTTAACTTATAAAAAGTTCCATTATTAACATTAAGTTTCTCAAAATCATGTTTGATCATCATTTGCTCAAAAATATGAATGTAGCACAGCACTGAATTATTAGTTGAATGCACAGCATATGCACAGCACTGAATTATTAGTTGTTAAAAAAAAGACATCAGTTGCCGTAAAATGAAAAAGATATCAATGCAAAATAATGATCAGCAAGAAAAAAATGGACAAAGATGTGATTGTATCAGAATTTGCAAGGAAAATCGTGCATCATTGATGATGGATTTTATTTTACTGATATTACAATAATATTTTTTACTTATTTTGCTTACATCATCATCAATTTCAAAAATATTTGTTACTCAAGCAACGTTAAACAAACTCCTGGATGGGTAAAGTATAAAAAAACTGCAAAATTTTACTGAAAATCACTTGTCAAGTTTCTCATTTCTAATAAAAGGGTGTCAAAACCGACACCCTTGACATGATCTTGCTTTATG